ATATGAAGTGTGAACATACCTTTACTAACGATAAAAAGATCAGCCCGTTTACCCGAGCCGTAATTGAGATATTCAATTTTTTCTTTCGGTATCGTTACTTTTGGGACACCCTGTATTTCAAATTTTTCTAGAATTTTCTTCAGATAATAATGCAAAGTGAATCTAGGTACTATAGCTGATTGAAATGAATTCAACTTCCGTAAATTGAAGTTTGTCATAATCGATGTGATTTAAAACGTGTTATATTGAATGTAAAAGAGTTTGGCTCACCTAAGGCGAACAGTACAATTCGGAGAAAAATTGTGAGTAATACTAGTTCATACTGATTGTAACAGTCACTACTAGAGATGCGCAGGATCACTAGAAAAGAAGTTGCCGGGATGGGCAGCCAAAAAAAACTTCGGTCCCGCAGATCTATATCCTTTATGTACACAATTTCATATGGTATAGGATTAAATTTTGTAATTGATATGAGAAATGATTATATGTCATCTTCATGTTGAATGACAGTTAATTAAAGATAAAACAAAACGTATTTGCACTTTTTTAAAGTATGATTTTGTGTCAATGGTTGAATTCTTAGGATTTTCTTCCATCATCCTTCGTTGTAGATGACGATGTGCTCTTTCATTCGATAGTAAAGGATTGTCATCTTTGCATGAAGGAACGAATTTTCTCAAATACAGTCGACTAATAGAAATATGCTGAATTTCTAGATGTTGATTTGCACAATGAAGAAAACATCATTAGCTACAAAAGGTTTTTCCATTATCTGGAACAGTACAAAATTCTCTTACAAATCATAGGATTTCGAGATTTTGTAGCTTGAAGTATATTGAAAAAGAAACATTTAAACGTTTAAATAGTCCATTTTTAGCCTAAGTGTCTGAAAAATTCTTGAACAGTAAAGTTTAAAAGTAAAAGAAAAGTTCTATGAATACGTTTTTGATCTTTTATTTGCCTTGTTACTATGCGATCGTTATTTATTTATTTTTTTGTATTCTGCTTTTCTTCATCTAACATTATTATTATTCTAGTTATTGATTTAACTGGCAAATAAGCCTATTGTACATATTCATTATATCTACAGTTTGGTCGCAACCCAGTGATATGTGTCTTGATAAACTCAGAAACATTATTATTGTTTATTTCATTCTTTTTATGTTGATCATAATAACCACCGTAGCAAATCAATGCATCACTGTCTATCATCTTTGACGTCTTTACTATGAATTTTTATCTGCACAAAAATCAGAAACTATGCATTGTTTAGAATATTCACAGTCGTATTTTTGTCATTGAAGTTTCGAGAAAATGTGACTTTGGAATGTTCTAGAATAGTCTAAGCGTTGTTAGCATTGCCTTCCATAACTGTTTTCCGTTGCTAAGCGATTATGGGAAAGAAATTTGACAGCTATTGTCCTCGGTTGATAAAGCAGCACACCAAATGATCGTTGGTCTTTTTTTTCTTACTCACACGGGTAGGAAAAATGTATTCGTTAGTCTCTGATCATTAACACCCATTGTTATGAAGGGAAGGAGTCGCTACACTTATCTTAAAACTTTCATTCACTATAATTTTTTTGAAAGAACTATTTTTCTGTTTTAGATTTACAATATAATATTGTTTTAATTAAATATAAAAATTGGAATCATTTCAAACTCTATGGAATTTTTGTTTTTAAGTTTTCAATCATCATAATGTTTGGACGTAGTATTATTTGCTGCAGATCTTATCTTAGTAGACAACATAAATGTATATAATGAATTCGATATGTATAAAAAGGAAAGACTTTTATTTCTAAATGAGAAATATATATATACCTCACTCTTGATATAATCATATTCTAAACATTCATCGAACCAATCAAAGATTTGTACACTAACAATCGACATACGAGAATAATATGTAATATTTGCACGTCGCAGACAAGATCGAAAACGAATATTATCTTCTAGACTAATTAAATTAATTGGTGTTAATTGAGTTGTTTTCCATGTTCGCCCATGTTTAGCTGCAAAATTCCATTTAATATTATCATTAATTGATTCATTTTCAAGAAATGTATACCAGTCATCATCATTAACAATAAGTCTACCAGAATGATCGGCTTCATGTGCAATCATTTGTTTACACCATTCGTTTGGTATAACTTGTTCATTTCCATACAAATACATACGTATTGGTGATAAATATCGAATCCAACGACATATTATTTTCGGATCTTCGTATTCAAATAACAATTTTCCATATGGTAATTTATGATATATTTCACTTTTTGGAATATAATCATCAAGTGAAGAGATTATAGCGTCTGGATAACCGAACTTAGCACCTAATTGAAAAAAAAAACAAAGAAAAAATTTTTTATAAATTCGAAATATGATATAATTTTTAAAATATTCACAATAATGTCGTAAACTTTGTATAGTATTAGTCAAATTTGTACTATTAGTATTCAGAGGTATTACTAATATATGACACGGTTCAGCCTAAATAAAATGAATTTATTTAATTTTTTTTTTTTCGAAGCACATTTATCAACATACTCTTAAATTCGACATAATCCATTCTTTAGTTTTCTCTGCTTTTCTTAAATATAATTTTGCCAATGGGATTTGATCCGATTTAATTTGTTTGTCAGCTTCGTTTCTTAAAAATTGAATTATACTCAATGTCAAAGCAAGGCTAATCGATTCTTTTGGTATATAATATAATTTGGTGATTTTAAACGTAGGTATAAAACTTTCATTCCAAATATAAAATATAGATATTACTTGAGAATTTTCTTCCATTTGTGTATAGAAAAGATCTTCATCTTTTCCAATCGATTCGAGGAGTAATACAAAATAACGTTTTAATCTTAAATCTGTAAGTTTAGAACTGTTGCTCACTTTATAGAGAAGAGATGATACATCTTGAGCTATGACCATAGGAATTGGAAAACATAATTCAGTTGATTCTACAATGTCGGAAGTACCATAAACGATAATACTTAGTTGAACTTCTGACATTTTTTCTAGCTAGATAAATGTAATCTAAAAGGAACAAAAAAATTGGAAAAGTAAGTCGTATGCTTGATAAAACAACAATATTTTATTCCAAAACATGTTATTGTGCTGTTTTTTTTTGCTGCTTCAATAGAAGGAAGAACAGGATGAAAAAAGGATTCATTCGATGTTTTATGTTGACTGCAAATATTTTTTTCTATCACGTTTTTTTTCTGTTCTTTCATGTTGTAGAAAAAACCACCTATATGTAGGCACAAAAATGAATATGTTTGCACGACTGAGTCATTGAAAAAAAATCATATGAAATACGTTACATGCAGAAATAAACAACAAAACTCTTAAAGGTTTTGTTTGATGACGAATTTTTAGTGTACTCAAAAAGTGAGTACACTACTAAAATCGGTCTGTGTGTCCGTCCGGCCGTTTACACGATAACTTTCGAAAGGAGAGTCAGATTGCGATGAAATTTTCTACACAGCTTAGTCTTGA